GACTTTACAAGTCACAGTGGAAAGTGAATCAGACTTTGATTCCTGAAAGAGGCAGAAGTCACTAGAAGAGTCCAAGTGAAGGGTGTTTTTGAAAGACTAGACATGGCAACTCTTCCCAGAGCCTGGCAGTGATGTGTGGAGTGGAGAACACATTTCAAATGACTCAGTGCTTCTCCACCTGAATACTGAAATGCAGGAGTAAGAAAGGGAAAGAAAAGGATCCCTGAGACTGACCTTTCAAGTCTGAGCTCTGAAGATGCAAGGTGGTATGAGGGCCACACACAGACCAAACACCTCCTTATACCCTCAAGTACTCACCCATTCTAAATCTTTTTTCTGTTACTGATTTACATGAAGAGGTTTTATGTTCTCAAGGTGAAATTCTCCACTGGAGATCTAGGAGTGGGAGACAGAGTCTAGCAGCATCCTCTGCTCAGCTAACACCTCCCCAGTTCTGTCCTGGAGCAGCCGCAGGACACCCAAACCCCTGCAGACACAGTATCTGCCCGGGCAGACACTGAACAAAACACGCCCTTAAACGAGGTATAAAAAGTCCCCTTAGATCCTTATCAACACAAGACCCAAACTGCCAGATCATCTGCATGGAAGCACCCTCTGTAAAAATCTGCTTAGCAGAAAACAGCATTCCTGTAACATGATGCTGTTCTGCCACCAGGTTTCACCTTATTCCTTACACCGAATATCTACCCTTCTTACCTTTACCTATGGCCTTGCTCACCCCCCCGTGTTTGCTGCAGCAGCTGTACATGAATCTCCTCTCAAAAGCTGGCCAAGCACATCTTACCCCACCCAGGACAGTCTCACTGTGCTCTGTCCTCCAGCACAAACCAGTCGGGCACAGGCAGTGACCAGCCCCAGAGTGCCATCTATGGCTATTTCACAGGACTTCACAGCACAGCAGAAAACACACAGGCACGCTCATCTCCCCTCCTGGCATTAGGAATATCCCTCAGAAAAGCTGCTGTCATTAAGGTCTGAAGAGAATTTAGTCACAGCAGCAGATGCAACAGTAGCTGCCCTAAGAGGGCTTTTACTTCTCCTGGAGGGAGAGGCAGAGCGTGGGGAATTAAGCCCCTCTCCCCCACTCTCCCCAAAAAAGGAGAAGCAGAACATATGCACACAGCCCACTGATTTCTGCTGAGGTGGCCCAAAGCCAGCGTATAAACCAGGCTGGGTACCTGTGAAATGAGGCTGGAGCACGTTAGCATTTTTAGAGTCAGAAACCGAGTATAAAGTAAAAAGAGATGGAAATGGCATTCTCCCCTCAATGCACATCCCAGGACCAATAAATGAGCCACCTCCACCAGGGAAACCGGCCACCCAAGGGAAACCATGTTCCTGGGGAGGTGTTTCACAGCGGTGTTGAGCTGACCCCTCTGGAAAGAAAGGCTTATGGGGCCAACCCTGGCCCTGCAGCTGAGGAAAGAGGCTTGGAGCAGGTGATGTGGCAGGTGCTATCTTTGTCTGCTTCTGCCACTGAGTCAGCCTGTGCAAGCTGCAGCCAGTAAATCCATACAGCCCCCACCTCCATGAAATCACCTGGGCACTGGTACAGCCAGTAAATCCATACAGCCCCCTCCTCCATGGGCACATCTGGGAACTGCTGCTGCCAGGCACAGAGAGCTGTCAGTGGCACTCAGCTGATCCTCTCGGCCACCCCTTCGGGGTCACAGCACAACCCTCTCCATGAGAGGAATTACAGGAATTACAACGCTTGGCTGTACAGGAGAACATCTCCAAACCACCCAGCCAAACAGACCCCATCACTCCAGAGCAGGACAAGCCCACCTACATGCCCCAACCAAGCCAGCACAGCACTGTCAGGTGTCTGCTGGCTTCTACTGGCAGGAGTTGCATTCAGCATTCCCACCCAGCCATGCTCCACCCAGGAACACAGAGGGTCTTTCTGCCAGGACCCAGGTCTTCAGGAGATCCTCTGACCCGGTGCTAACATGGGTATCTAACAGGTTCTTCTGCACCCTTCAAGGGACCACACAGATCCTTGTTCTCCATCAGTGAGCTCCTCCCAGCTGCCACGGCCCCACTGGGACCACACACACCCCCACAGCTCCCAGGGGCACGAGGGACACGGGAGAGGAGGAAGCCTCTCCTCCCCCCCCCAGACTGCCCTGTGGGAAGGTTCACCATGAACATACTGGTGAGCATAAGTGCACTGAGACATGTAAACAGGCTGTTCCTTTTCAGACTTGCTGGATGACAGCACCTATTTTCATTGACAGTTCATGTCTTAGTGTTTGGGGCTTACATGTGTGCAATGATGGAGAGTCATGCAGAGCTTTGGCAGAGACAGCTCACCAGAACTGGCCATGCTTTAAAAAGGTGGTCTGTGAAGACTTCAGGTAAGGCAGTTAAATTGGAGCACATTGCACACAAAGCTACAGAGCAGATTTTACTTACTTTGGGAGAAAGCAACATTTTTCACTAAGGAGTTAATGAGCAGTTGTGGGTTGATTTTTTTTTTTCTTTTTTTAAAGCAGGTTGATGATGAAAAATCTCAGAACAGTATGACTATCATGAGAATGATTTCTAAAGCAGGAAGCATGACAGTCCCACACCCACAACAGCAGAAGCAGCTGCCACACAAGTTGTCAGCCACACGCTGCAGGTCTGGTCCTGCACTACTAAAAGCTATTGGAGCTCTGACACTCTCTTCAATGCAGAAAACTGCACAATGCAGAATTAACTCAAAGCCTAGATAAGACAGAAAAAAAACAAATTAGTGGTATTACCCAAGTCAGAAAGTATTTCACATGCTTATCTCAAAGTAGGAACTCCTATGACAGAGCCCAGTCTGAGCAGAAGCAACAGAACTACCACCACCACTCACACTCAGGATCTGCAGCACTCAGAAAAGAACCTACCAATAAGAAATATCAGTAATTAAAACAATCTCTAACCTCATGTGAAGTTCTCTGCAATATGACTTCAGTGCCTCCCAGACTCTGAAAGCTAAAAGAGAGATTTCTCCTTGAGGCTAAGGAAAAAAAAAATAATCAGAGCAGGTTGTTTCATTTTTATCTGGAACATTTCCACCTGCCCACCTCTTTTCTGCACAAAGCCTTTCCAAGTTCAGTGCAAGTCCATGCCTGGCTTTAAGTACAGGTGACACAGGAAGCTGCTGAGTGTCAAGATGATTTTCATGGCCCCTTTGCTCTGCTACAGCAGCAGAAAGCCAGGGCTTTCTCCAGCTGCCAGCTGGAAGGGAATGGGGAGCAGGGGTGGCTGGCTGCAGCCGTGGCCCAGCAGTAACTAAAGCCTCTGACCCTGCTGTTCCTCAGGGTAAGGGAACAGCAACTCCGGCTCTCCAGAGGCATCTGAGGCAGCACGGCCCAGATGGGAAAAACATCCTGCCTGCCTTTGAAAAACCCTGGAGCGACTCTGCCTTACCAAATGGCAGGAACCAACTGGCTGTCCCTTCGGGGACTCCTAAGGAGGGCAGACTCTTCCTTTTGCAGAGGTCAGAGCACCGAAGCAGCTGGTTCCAAAAAGGCAACAACCCATTGCAAAGCCAAAGCTCCCATAGCCTGTCCCACGCTGTGAAAGCAGCACAAGCAGTGCAGGAGGGGGAAAACAAAGAATGATATGGATTGGTCCACTTTGGGCAGTGCTATGTGCCATTAATCCCTGGTTACAGGTCAGTCATCCCCACAGTTCTTCAAGGACAGCCTGGGATCAGAATTGCCTTTCCCGATTCTGGCACAGGGCTGGCTGCCCACAGCTGCCCACCAGCACCTCATCTGCCTTATCCAGGGATCTACATTCCCATCTGATCCAAGGAACAAACATGACCCACAAACTGATCCACACAGAACAAACCATGCTGGGATCTCCTCAGTGCTGAGCTCTGGTGCCGTGAGGACCAGCCCTGCTTCACACACAGGAGCACACTGAAATCTGCACAGAAAGCCTGTCAAACTGAGCAGCTGCTCCCTGGCTCTCCTACACCTCTCCTCAGATGGAGGAGCTTCAATTATGTGGCATGTCTGCAGGATTTGGGAGGTAAAAGAGCTGCTGCCACATCACATGCTTTAACCCTTTGCCTTCCTCCAGGCACTGTGGAAGATGTGCTGCACTGTGTTCATTTTCATGTGGTGGCTCAGTGCACAAGGCTGCCCTCAGAGTCTGGTTTTCACAGCAGGGGTGTAGGAGTACAAAACCACAAACCTACTTAGTTACTGATTCCCTGCCCCTACATTTTCAGACTGGCAAGACAAGTTACAGAAAACCTTCTCTAGGGGAATACATCAACTGTAGAAAAGTACTTAAAAGTAACTGCAACGTTCAATTTTACTTAATGTTACACAAGAGCTCTAAGACATTTACATACTTACAATCTTAGATAAACACAACTACATTCCATGATGTTCAGAAGGAATCACGGAACACCCCTCACAAATAACAGACAGAGACATTTGCAGCCCAACTCGGTTGCTGCTTAGATACTTAGATATTATGCTAAAAGGCCTAATTCACTCTCACTGATTAAGAGAAGCGACTAAATGAGAGCCGAACTAGGTTCATCAACACGTACCTTAACTTGCAGTCACCTCCTGCTTTTCTCTCAGTCACTCTGGCAGCATTTATCACCATGCTCAGAATAGCTCCCGTTTCAACAAATACTGGAAAGGTGAATCTTTTTCCCTAAAGAGGGTCTACAGCATAATTAGCACTAAACACATAATTAGTACTAAACGCTTGTAATCCAGAGTCATCTTCCAGAAAAAACAACTTCAAGGAGCTGTGGGTTCAAACCACCAAATCTAAACTACTTAACGGTGTATGGAACCTTTAAGCTTCTGTTGAGAGCAAAAGACGCAGAAAACAAGTTTATAGATCTGTAATCAGAAACGTCAGACAGCAAGGCAGCACCAAGGCTTGTTTTATATGCACCAGAAACACGTCAGCAGGAGAAGCATCACAGCATGAGGGAAGATTTCCTGCAAGAATATTTTAGTTACCTTGAGCCTGATTTTTATAATCCTCCCTGGTACTTCCGGTAATCTCGGCAGATCTGAGTAGAGGACTTGTAGAAAAGGCACTTCAGGCATTTCAGCATTCACCTGACATGCTTTAACACAAGGAACAAACAAAAAGAATGATCTAGTTTGGAACTTGAGAAATTATCCTGCTCTGGAGCTAGCAGGATGCAAAAGGAGCCAGGTGGCCTAATTCAAGTGCCAAAATGTACCTCAGTGGTATCACACATCTTCTGGGAGATGCAGCTTCCATCAGGAAGCTAGTTAGATAAGTGTCATGGAGAGCCAAGGCTGGGAATCCATGGAGGTTAGCTCCACATGGCACACAGATCCTGCTCCCACCCCACCTCAGTCTGCTGCAGACTGCTGACATCCCGGCTCACATGCTCCATGGAACGCTCTGAGTCATGCTGCTAAGGCTGGAAAATAAATGGGTTTTAAAAAGCTCTGCATTCTGCAAGCAGCACACCCAGTCTGGGGAGGCTGAGGCCCACGATACAGACATTGTTGCCCGTTTGCCCAAGACCCCCTTTGTGCACCAACTCATCGTGGCTGCATGCAAACACAGTGGTGAACAGACAGCTACATGCACTCGACTTTAAGAAAAGAGTTAAGCCTTTTCTTAAAGGCCTCTTTATTTTTTTAAATTCCTTCAAAACATAAATTAATTTAAACAAATCAGATGCAAAACACCTGCATTTTAAATTAGCATATATTTTACTGTATCAATCACAGCAACCTCATACAGTAAGATACACAAAAATAGAGCATGGTATCACTTCAATTCAACACAGGTTTGTACTACAGGATTCCATGACATATATACAGAGGACTTTTCTTTTTTCAGAGCAAGCATAGTCCCTGCTCTGGTCACCGTAAAAATTACGTGGCATCACAGTTTTAGTTATTCACTGTAGTGTGAGTAGCCATATGGAAATTGAACTCGTGAACTAGAAGATACACTGTAGAGCAGCCAAACAGGCATGACACTGCAGAAGGTGAACAAAACCAAAATAACCACCGAAAGGAAAACCACCTTCAGACTGCATTGTAATAGTAAAATTGTTTTTTAAATTCTTCACTATATACATAATGTATCTACATTTGTGTCATATTTATATATATATATATATATTTATAAAAAACATACAAGAGTTTGAAAACCTTAAAATCATTCACCTAAACAACATTCACCCCAACCTTTAGGGTCAGCAAGGCAGTACTTGACCTTGACATTATGTTCAGTTGCAGTCCCTGATTGTTAAACACACACCATTCACTTTGTTTCTTAGTGCAAACTGGACAGTAACTTATTGTTCTCAGCCCTCTGTAAGACCCAGGTTCCATCTTATTTCCATTATGCTTCTGACACCCATTTACGGCTAAAATTATTTTAGCTATTTTACAATATTAGCCTATATAATTTCCCCTTCTACCTATCTGAAGCCCTCCCCCCACCCAAAAAAATGTAAGACAAACAATCATTCATGCATGTTTGTGTCACACAGGGATTGATGGACACTGAATTGAGAAGCCTAGACTCTAACAGTGGTTAAAAACCCCTAAGTGAATAATTTCAGTGCAAAGTGGACTACATAGTTTACATCTCAGCTAGAGTTCTTTACAGATATTTTGAACACATTTAGTTCTGCACATCAGATTAGGTTGCCTGATACTTTGTGCTAACTAGCTAGTTGGAATAAGGGAGTTAGGATTCTTATGGGTTTCCTTTCAATAAAAAACTAAAGTCTATTCATAACCAGGTGTTGTTTGGGGGTCAAACTGTACAGAGCCCAGCACCAGGGAGTCCTGATTCTCAGTCAGGGCTCCCAAGTACTGTAGCAATAGACAAGGGTTATTATCTGATTCACATCCATAACTGATGGGTTCACTTGAACAGGAGTCACAAACGAGCTCTGATTTTTAACCAGGCCAGTGCTTTACTTGCTGGACTACACTACGGACTTGGCAATGAATTTGGAAGCAAGCATAACATTAATACTTACAATTTCCATAACCACAAAGAAAAAGCGTGCACTGAGAAGCAAAATCCTGCAATTCTTAGACAAGACTCCACTCAGACTAGTGCTAGTCTTATCAGAGGGGAAAAAAAAAAAGAAAAGGCAGATTAAAACCAAGAATTGATCAGAGCCAAGAACATCAGTCTGCCAGAGTGGCTATAATAAGCTATGAAATAAAGTACAAGGAAAAACAAAAGGTCACACCTGAACAAATAACCCAGAGAGACTTCATAGTTATAATGATTCTACCACTTTTAAGAACTCAACATATTAAATATTTATTAAAAATAAACTGTTTCCAAATCACCTATTTACAGTACAAAGAACAGTACTTAATACATGTGCAACAGAAAGTAAAGAAAATGGATACTCATCTGAGAGGACAACACTCCAGGCATCATCTGAGTGACACAGATACACGTTCACCTCTTTAAAATACCATACTGTAAAATCCAGAAGGATGATATTGGCAACACCGGAAAATAAAGCACGTATTACCCAGATTCAGATTACATAAACTTGAGATAAACAACTGGGAGAGAAGGGGAGAAGGAGGAAACAAAGACAAAAGGAAGAGATGCTGTGGTGTTTGCATTTTGGAGATCAAGAAATGCAGACACATGTCAAAAAATAGTCCTTGTTGGCAAAACAAGCCATTCGCATATTTCCTGCACATTTTGAAGTCATACTTTATCAAAAACCGGCAGTTTTGTCGCTCATAGAAAATGAGAATCTTAATTCTCTGGCTTTATCTTCAAGCCCTACCTGGCTTTGTTCGGGCCAGGAGATGACTGCGATGTAATAGAAAAGTGTGATGTCACTTTTAAAAAATACAACAGCTGCCAAGTTTTAAGGAAAAATGTGCTCTCTCCCCCATTTAAATTGAAAAGCGATGATCATTTAGGAGTTACCTAAATTATAGCAGCATGAAATCTAATGGATCTGCAGCATCTATGAAGCCACAAAAACCAAGAACTGGCACCTGATCACTGAACCGTGGTTCCAAATATTTGGACGTGTGGTTTTGGTAAGAGGTCAGTGTGGAGTCAGAACATTAGTTAGGATAGCCCTTTCCCCTTCCCCTTTCCTTCCCAAACAGACTAAGCGGGTCTATCTATAGACCACGTGGGACAGCTGGGATGATTTATAGTTTAACTGGTTGTTAGGCAGGAACCTGTGGAGCTCGCTCTTCCTACAGCAGGGGTCATAATAGTAAGCATTGAGGCAAGAGTCACAGGAGACTTTTGAGCAGAACGTGCAAGTGTTCGCAGCTCCGGAGCGGTTACAGAAGCCACAGCGGGAAGTGCCCGAAGGCTTGGATTTGGAGCTGAACTGAGCAGCTCTGTCTTGGCTCTGAGTCTGTGATGTGTACTGTGACTTCTCCCTCAGAGCAGACGCAGGTGACAAGCTGTCGTTCGGGAGTGGTTTGATTGAGTAGGTGCTCTGTTTCACCGCTGGGTATTCCTGCCTCGAGCTGAACAGATTGTCACACTTTTGGCAAACAGAAGTGCCGCAGGGTACACCACAGTTCTGGCACTTGGGGGAAGCTGTCTCTTTGGCTAGGTGGGTGCGTTTGTGGTAAACGGGGTTGGCATCGCTTCTTAACAGCCACACATCAGGCTTAATAGATTCTTGTCTTTTAAAATTTAACATACCTCTAGAATCGTGATCAGTATATAAATCTAAGTCCTCTTGAGCAGAAAAATAGGAGCTGTAAGGGACGTTTGTTCTTAGCATGCCATTGTGATGAGATGAAGTTGGCAAGTACTCGTCTGAACACCCGTGTGGGGAGCTGGACATGGTCAGCAGAGAGGGCGACGGGCGGATAATCTCATCTTTAATGTCATCTTCCGCATCGACCAAAATCGGCTCTTTCCTGAGGCTCAGGGAGCTCATCAAAGGTGGTTTCTTACTTTCCCAGTAATTATCATACGTATCCACTGACTTGGAAGGCTTGCTCACCTTTGGCTTGAAGTAATCTTTAGAGGCCCGTTCACTGGCCGATTTCTGGAGCACCATCCGTGCCATGGAAGTGTTCAAGTTCTCCTTGCACTCCACACGCCGCTTCATGGCCTCGGAGCAGCCTCGCACGTCCTCGCTGCTGTTCTTCCGCTCGTTTATGACATCGATCTCTGAATAACCTTTATCCTTCACTTGCAAGTGAATTTCAAGAAGCTGCTCACATTCCACTTTGGCCAAAAAGAGTTCAAATGAAATCATTTTCACTTGGATGGCATCGACCTGCTCTTTGAGCTTATAGGTTGTTCCCAGTTCTGGGACATAGCCCATGTAGTTCAGAATCTGCCTTACATCATCTTCGGTTAGAGCAGACTTTACATAATAAACAAAGGGTCCAGTGTAGGTCTAAGGGGGAGGGGAGGGGAATAAAAGGAAAACTAGGTTACAAATTCAGTGGTGGACTAGATGTTCAGATAATTCAGTGACAGAGAGCATTATAATTAAATAGAATAATAACGACTGCGAACACATGCAACTCCCTTGGCAAGATGAGCTCGATTTCTGCAGCCCTCCTGTTCAGCAGATGGAAATTCCACATGAGGCAAATTCAAAGTAGGAGAGCTTTCATTCAAATTAAAATCCTGATTAGCATAATGTCCTCCCTGGTGATTTAAATCACTCTGCTATGCACTGACATTAACTTTTATGCATACCGGACATGTCTGCATTACAGGAAGTCTACCATGAAAGGCAAAAAGGCAGGAATTTCGGGAACTGCCCCAGCCAGGGGCAAGCTGGAGGCAAGAGGAACCCAGAATTACAGCAAGAGGGCCAAACTTCTCTACAGTTCAGCTTTAAATGGACTTGAGGTGCACACTTTTTTCTGTACTGTTACTAAACAGTTTCAAACATCAGTTCTATTTAATTTAATATTAATTCAAAAAACTTCCACTAAAAGAGCCCCAAAAGCGAAGACACAAGTCTCTGCAAATTGAAATACCCTCAGCAC